TTATCTTGGGATAGGTTTCTGCCTCTTTCTGGAATCCTAGATGGCTTTTGCTGGCAGACACCCTAAGATCTACACATAGTTCTGGGAGGAGAAACCATAACAAGGTCTTAGAAAGGCTTCTCTTTCCCATTTTCCAAGGGCAACAGTCCTGAGACATATAAAAAGTAACCATGGCATATATGTTTTTTACAGACACCGTCTCTAAAGCAATGAAGATACTGTACCTTTTACCGCTTCAGAACGGGGGCAAGGGGGGAGAAGGGAAAGTCGAAGATAGTAAGTAGCAAAGGTTGTAATTCTGACTAAATTTTAAACGAAACTTTAAAATAATTTATTCATTTATTTCAACTTAATTTAAAATGAACATCAAATGACTAAAGTTTTAGGAATGAGTTTCCCCTCCTCCCTGGAAATCATCAGGGTGACTATAAAAGGTATCATGGTCCAACTATCAGATTTTTAAAAATCCTTTTAAGAGTATTTTCAGGGGCGCCTGGCTGGCTCAGTCAGTTGAGCATCTGACTCTTGATTTTGGCTGGGGTCATGAGCTTCAGGTCCTGGGACTGAGCCCCTGTCCTGTCAGGCTCCACGCTCAGCGGGGAGCATGCTTGAGGATTCTTTTTCCCTCCCTCTACCTTTCCCCCTGCTCTTTCTCTCTCTAAAATAAATGGATAGATTTAAAAAAAAAAAAAAAGCATTTTCATAAACTGGGCAGCTCTAGAACGGACTCAGGAAACTGAGCATTTAGTTCGGATGGGCACAAACTGAAACTGTAAAAACTAAAATTCAATAGCATGTATAAAGTGACATTCTTTTGGGACTAGAAGTACAACAAAGAAAACAATGTCAATGTCTATGTCAGGACTTTTTTCCTCAATTACATTACGGGATTTAACGTTTTTAAAAATGTGTTTGTAGGTATGTGTGTAGATGTTTCAGTTAAGTTTCATTATTTCAACAGTGAGTTAATCCACTGTGCTCTCAAGGTAGCGCTCAGTTAAACCAAGTACCTTTAGGTGTTTTTTGGATGGTGGTAACACTCTATGGTATTACTATGTCATAGTTACATTAGAATGCCTTGGTCAGCAAAGCGCGCCCTTGTTCAGGGGCCGAAGTAATGGGCAGAGGGGCCGCACTTGCAGAGCAGGTGACTAGCAGGCTGGGCTGAAGAGAGCACTAGAGGTTCAGGCCAGCACTACAATCTCTATCAGCTATAAAGAGGAAAGAATTTTAGAGGAAGCTAAGCAAAGTGAAATCATTTCTCTTCCACTAGTCCTTAGCTCTCATGTATTATCATCACTTGCCTCATGCCAAAGGCCAAGACTAGAAAAGGCCAAATCAACTCTGCTGACACCTGCCGAAATGGGCAGTTGCCCACATGAACAGCCCCCACAGAGCCAGAGAACAGAAATTACAGGAGACAGTTACTGCAAGGGAGGTTGTCGGCCACACTTCTCTTTTCTTCTTTTCTGTAAGTCAAAATACTAAATCATAGCATATGAGAATTTGAGGTGGACACAGGTATATTTTCTAATTTGTTCAATTAATAAGAAAAGACCATTAAAAAAGTATAGTCTTAAATCCATCATAAAATAAGAGTGATTTTTCTACATCAATGGGAAAAAGACCAATAAAAATTATTCAATAAGTAGTATCAGGAAAAGTGGGATTAGCTAACTACGTACAAAAACAAAGGAATAAATAAATAAATAAATCTGGGCTGCTATTCTATCTTGCACCAAAATAACTCCAGACACTGAAGCCATAAAAGAAATACTAAAAACATGAGAAAAAAGTTTTATAATCTGAAATGATAAAACCTTTTGAAGAAGAAAACCCTGAAGCCATAAAATACAAATCTGATCAATCCAACCAAGTAAAACTTAAAAATTTGCACATGGTAAATTACACAAAACCAAAAACAAATGGTAACACATGATAGAAAAATGACCAATTTCCTTAATATAGTATTCACAAATCAAGAGGATAAAGACCAAAGTGCCCCAGAGATATAAGCAAACAGACAATTTGCAGGAAAAAAAAAGGCCTAAAATATACATTAAAATGCTAAACTACAAAGAAAATATATAAAGATAGACCACAGGACAGATTTTCACTTAGACTGTCAGAACAAAATGTTGGTTAGTATGTATGAGAAAATAAGAGCAATCATACCGCTATAGTTTTAAGTTGGGAAAATCTATTTGGAGAGCAATTTTGCATCTACTCTCTCAATGTGTATACTCATTGATCTAGCAATTCTCTCTTCAAGAGTGCATTCTCTAGATGTACACAGACACAATGATGTAGCTCTAGAAAAGGACACTTCCCGGCAGCATGGTTTACAGTAGCAAGATTCCAAGTAGTCAAACTGACCCAAGTGAAGTCTGAAATAACTGGTACTCCAGACAGTGCAGAACTGGTGTAGCCATAAAAGGAATTACGCAGATCCAAGATTCATCATTTTAAAGAGAAATCAATAGTGAATAGTATATGTATTTATGAAAAAACAGGGTAGGGTGGGTGAATATACTCAATGTACACCAGAACAGTGGTTCTCACTGTGTGATTCTGTACACCAGCCACAGCAGCACCTGGAACTGCTCAGAAATCCAAATTACTGGGGCCCACTCACACCTACTAATGTGGAACCCCTGGGAGAAAAGTCTAGCAATCAGTATTTTCAGATGACTTCTAGGTAATTTTGATGCATGCTGAAGTTGAGGAACTGCTGGGCTGGAGTATCTTTCAAGATACCCAAAACACTGGTAACAGTTGTTACATCTGGGGCGTGGAGATAGATTTTTCACTTTGGTATCTTTGGATTTGCCCACCATACATATGCATCACCTATTTTAAATAAAAAATTATCAAAACCTGCCACTTTGATCCAAAATGGATAAGAAATGAGCTCAGTGTTTCTAGAAAACTGAATTGAGTTCTGATTTATGGCATGACCCTTAAGAGAAAAAAACAATAGCCTACTTTAGACCAAGATTTCAATGTGGAAGATAAAGCATATCTATAAATAACCATGTATGGTTTGGCACAGCAGAGCCTAAGTCTGGTGATAATGAACTTGTTATTTATTGAAGTAAGTTTTTAAAGAGAAGAAAAACCTTTTTAGAGGTTTTATTAGAATGAGGCAAATTACCTTTATGTAGAGCGTAACAATTAAAAACCCAGAATAAAGGCCAAGACAAAGAGAAAAAAATTTCACGCCAAAGAGAAAAATTGAACATTTTTTTTTTTAAAAAAGCACAAAAACCCTACATACTAAAATTGTACACATCAAGTATTGGTCCAATCTTATATCAATCTATTTACATTAAACAGCACCATGGTTTTCTCACCCAGGTTAGTTAAACATGCCCAGAAAATCGTTATGCGAAGTATATGTACCTTTAAAACAAAATAAATTCTTAAGAGAGTTCAAATTCTACACAAACAAAAAAAAACTTCTTAGCAACCATAGATTATTGATGATATCACCCAATTTAACTTAGGAAAAATAGGTTTGAACACTTTTCCAGTTGTCAAACTTTGAGAGCTGTTGCTATTCAATGTGGCACGCAAGTAACAAAGAAACTCTTTGATGACAGGGGCATTATATTCAAATACCCTCAAACCTCCACCCACCTTCAAATATAAAAATACTCCTTTGGAATTAACGTTGCTGTTGTCTCTTGAATTTAGATTCAATTATCAGCAACCCTAAATTGAATATAGCCACAATCTTTAAAATGATTGCATAAAGAAAGGGAAGTAGTTAAAGCTCTCAGAGACAGGGTAAGTTATAATTATAGATATTATATCTAATCAGGCTATAGGAAATTTAATACCATTTTAAACTTTACATTTAAACTAATTAGCAGTTTCATTTTGCCATTAAAATTAATAGTGCTTCACATCCAAATAGGTGTGGAGGTCTGATTATTTCCCAACTGAGAGCAGTGTACGTACCTTCTTGTCTCTATTTTGCCACCTCACAGAGTCTCAGGGCTACAGTGATTGTGATAGTCCCCCTCTCCTTTCTGGAACTAACTTTTCAAAGGCCCCAAATTAAATATAACCCTTGGCAGCTTTATTCCAGTCATAGTACGAGAGAATCAGGTACTCTCACCAGATTTTTCAGTCCTTTCATCTAATCTGCAGATGGCTCTTCATTTGACTCTTTGCTAGGAAAGATGAGAGAGGAAAACTGTCATCCACCACAAGTAGAGGTAACAGTGAACTGGAAAGCTAACGTATAAAGCAATGTTTCATCTTTTGGTCTCACTGCTGATGTTTAAGTGATGTCCATAAACAGACCAGTAAATCAGGAGTTGAAATTTTTCTAACAGACTGAAAATAGGCACAGTTCTCCCATGCACAGATACAATGGGTTTTCCTTACACCCCTCCTGCAAACTGGGAGAGAAGAGAGAATTGACTGTATTATCTTAGGGTGGGAACACCTGTCCTTGATTCTTGCATTCCCTGGCCCAGTGCATTTGGGGGCATGCGCTGAAAAATCTCAAGCAGAGTAGGTAGATCAATGACGGTATTATATAGTAGTGACCCTCTAAGCCTGGATATAAAAACAGCTTTGATATACAGACATTTCAAAATACTATGCAGCAAAAGGACAAGAGACTTTTCAACTGAGTATCAGCTGAAAATCAGAGATCTTACTGTACTGACTAAATTATTGCCTAGTGTTCCAGAAGGGTACCTGCCACCAATGTGTTGGAAGGCACCAAAATTTAGTGTGAATGTAAATAAGGAGCTCAAGATACGGGAACGGGGAAAGCAATACTGAAACACAATTTGCCAGTCTCTACTCCTTTATGGCTAAATATTAATTGAGCAAAGAATTCAGACCAGAATAGAAGTGAACCTCAAATACTGCTCTTCTCAGTTTCCATTTTAAAAAGCTCATTTTGTAACTGTTATTGATATTTTCGGTAATATATATATATATATATATATATATATACACACACACACACATATATATTCAAATTCTGTATTGACAAGGTGCTTGGTGCTGTTCTTCATGGACGTAACATTCTATTTACAGTCCAAACATTTAAATACAGTCGTTACATTGTTGTTGGGTGTTTTAAAATAAATGGTTATCTATTTTTTAACTGCCTTTCAAATTAGAAACTGTAATTACATGAGTCTCAAAGGCTGGCTCTTTGTGTTTTATTAATTATTTTTGTTGGTCTCCATCACAGATGGAATTTTTCACTGGTAATTCCTCAGAACTAAATCCATTCATATGGAATTCAGAGCAGTGAAAATAAATTTCACGCCATAGAGTAGGAAATGACAACGACAATAAAAAGGAGTGGGAGGGATCTTGGGACCAGCCAGGAGGACCAATCAGTTCTCAACTGGTGTTGGGTTTTGTAAAGGCTGGCTCATTATAACTTGTACAACATAGTCCTTTGGGATCTTCAGCTCTTCCAACTTCATTTTGTCGGTGAGAGGTCTGCCAGAAAAGAACCATCGCTGGCTACTCGGTTCCACTCCTTCTGCTGCATGTAGCCTCCTCTTCATGTGGTATACAGTGTCTGTGCTGCGGACCACAAGTTTGAGGTCTTTGCCTGTGGAAAGGCGCAAACGGAGCTGACATTCATATCCAGAATTAGGTGGTGGCTCAGGAATATCCAGAGTCTCTATGTCGCTCTTTTCCTCTATCATGTTAATTGGTGGTGCCAAGCAGTAGACTGGAAGCTGATACCGGTTGCCCAGTTCATCATAGCACTCTGTGAGTGCACCTTCAGAAAGAGAAGATATGAACAAGAGTTTCATCTAAATGAACACATTTTTTTTTAGATTTTATTTATTTATCTGTCAGAGAGAGAGAGCGCGTGTGCAAGCGAGCACAAGCAGGGGGAGCGGCAGGCAGAGGGAGAAGCAGGCTCCCCACTGAGCATGGAGCCCGATGCGGGACTTGATCCCAGGACCCCGGGATCATGACCTAAGCCGAAGGCAGACGCTTAACCGACTGAGCCACCCAGGCGCCCCTAAATGGCACATTTTTATTTTTACTTTGCAAAATGCTCAAACCTCTTGCTAGCTTGCCACTGTAGAGAAAAAAAAGTATAAAGTCAATCACTGCCAGCCGCTTTAGCAATGTCCATCATTAAGGCCCATAACCAACTGAGTGTTTATCTAATTTTACCTTAGCCAGGACCCTAACTCCTTTCCCTCACCTTTTCTAAGTCATTTCATACCTCATTCACACTTTCATTAAATGATAAAGAAAAAGAAAGCACACAAAATTCATATTTACTATTATTAATGCTTGGACCAAATTAAGGGGATATTCAAATTGCACTGGGATATCTTTTTAAAGAAATGAATCAGTAACCTTAACAACAACCACAAAAAACAGATCCCTTAGCTTAATTCACCACAACACGGTGTTCCAGAGCAGTTTCCTTAGTGCCTGGACTTCCTAAGTACTTAGCCAAAAGTCCTTCGTCCAAAGAGACCACAGACTGGAGAAGACAAGCCTACCAGCCGCTCTGGCTCCTGGCTTATAGATGAATCTCATTAGCACAATCACCATAAAAATGACTGAGGGGTTGTATTTAACCCCAATCGGTCAATCTATTACAGAGAAGCTATGGGTTAAAACGGAAGAATAAAAGGGGTATGAAGTTTATAACCAGATAGCTCAGGGGAGAAAAAAAGGCACTTACGGTTTAAAAGAAGGTATTAATGGCTGATTTTTTTTTTATAAAGCATAAACTGCATTATAATTACCAGGACTTCCCTTTCGAAGCTTGAAAGGACACTTAATGAATGCTTTCTTACAAGGTTATTCATAATATGTCCTTTGCTCAAACTGGAACATTAATGTCAGCTGACTGATAAAAAACAAAAACATCTACCATATTTAAAACAGTCATATATAGTCTAATAAGTATGGGGTTGGGACACAGAAATAGTTATCCATGAACCAATGAGTTAATGAACTGATCTTTGTGGTCACTATCAATAGGCTGAAAAAACAAGGCACCCAAAATGAGACTGGAACAGTCACCAAGCATAAAACACATGAATCTCCGCTTTCCTCTAGGTTTAAAGATATCGTACAGCCTCCGTGTTGTTCACTAATTAATGTGAATGCTAGGACACTGCAGAAACAAATATACTTTAAGCATAGTTGTGTCCCTAACTAGCAACCATCTTGCTGCAGTACCAATGCTATTTATAAACAGGGGTATAGTCAGTTGTGCTAACTTCACTATTTATATGGCCTAGTCCTGAGGCAAAGAAACCTACTAGTGTCTTCCAGATGGGCTGGCCACCAGGAGAACAAGGAAAGAGAATGTGAAGAGTTCACTAAAGACACATCCCCTCTATTAAGAAAACACCGCAGATACATATCCCACTGACCCAATGATGGTATGGTCAGCCTGGTAAGTACAAGAGCAACGTTCTGGCAATGTTCTGCTAGAAAAACATTCTTTTAGAGAAGCACCATTCTAAACCATTATCTTTGAAATCTCTAGACCAAGATGAAACTCCCAGCCTTGCTATTAACTAGCTGCACAACCTTGAGCAATATTCTTTAACCTGAAATACCCTTCTCAATTAGCAAAATGAGACAGAAGAAAACCTCTAATGTGGTTACCAGGTTTGCATATGCTTCTTCATCTTCAGTACCACGACAGATATAAAAATAACAGGACTGTAAACAAAAGCAAACTGCAAGCAGAATGATGTCTGGACTGAAAGACAGCTGACATTTGCAGCCTCTCTAGAAAAGGACTAGAGATGACATCGCAGCTTTTATGAGTGTGCTATAACATGAGTGCATGCCCATCTGGAAACAAACATACAATCTATTAGGCACTTTGGCTCTTCCTAGATATGAATACCCACTCGTTCATCACAATGGAAAGTAGTCTTCTTTTCTTAAAACTAATTTTAGTCATCATCTGCCCGTTCATTCATTCATTCCTTTCTTTCTTTTTAAGATAATACCCTAAAGGAAGAGGTTTTATTTATTATTTTAAGTACACTCTGCCATTGACATGGGGCTCAAATTCACGATCCTGAGATCAAGAGTCTCATGCTCTACCAATTCGGCCAGCCAGGCCTCCCTGGAAGCAGTCTTTGCCCTTCAGCCCAGCAAGTTAGAAATTTAGTTTTCAGATTTCAAATGGGTGAGAATAAAAATTCCATGGAAGAGGTGCCAGTAGATGGCATATCTTCTTATTCCAGCTCAGGCAGTGCTCATGTCTATAATGCTGGAAATAAGCTAGCCAGACTTCATATTGCTTAGCTCCCATACCTTAATTAATTTTGGGAAAAGGTAACTTGCATTTTATTTAACATGAAGTTTTCTGGCTTACTCACTCTTTTCCTCACTTCTGTCAAATTATAATGAGTTATAAACATGCTCTGAATAACTAAATAGGGCAAAAGTCCAGACCATGATGTCAGATATGATTTAGTTACATTTCAAGCTATAGTTTTATGGGTTACTCTCTCCCCAAATTAAATATCTGGGATCATAAATTGTCAACAAAAACAAACTTTGCTTACAATATAACCCACAGTTGAATATTATCCCAGAATTACCTACTCAGGGCAGAATGAGTCCTCTGTAGGCCCAGACCCTTTTCAACAATATACTCCCAATTCTCCACCATTTACTAGCCCCATATCTCTTCAGTAAAGACAAAACTGCTCTGCTAATAGTGATCTCTAACATATAAGCTCTGTGAGACTTCATAAGGACCACTCCACACACTCTATGGAGTTGCTGCATGAACATTTACTAAATACAGGGAAGAGAGTAAGGCAAATCACTAGCTCTGGGGAGGAAAGGTTACAAGAGAGAGAACATTGTTCTTGATCCCTAGAAACTTCTAACTGAGGTAAGCAGATCTAGCACACCCACCAGAGATTTTAAGTACAAACTGATACACTGAAAATCAAATACAAGCTGAGACATCACACAACAGAAGAGTGACTAACATTGGTAGAGCAAAAAGGGAGAAATTCTGTAGAAATAGTGTGTTCTGGCCATGACACAGAATAAAAATAAAGGGCATCTCGGGGCACCCGGGTGGCTCAGTCGTTAGGTGTCTGCCTTTGGCTCAGGTCATGATCCCAGGGTCCTGGGATCGAGCCCCACATTGGACTCCCTGCTCGGTGGGAATCCTGTTTCTCCCTCTCCCACTCCCCTGCTTGTGTTCCCTCTCTCGCTGTGTCTCTCTGTCAAATAAATAAAACCTTTTAAAAAATAAATAAAGGGCATCTCAAGAAATAGGAATGATATGAGGACAAGAATTAGTACAAGGTAAGTAGGAAATAGCAAGTGGTTTTGCTGAGGTGACTAGAGAATTGATGTGAAATTACTAGATTGACAGCAATAGTGAAAACCTGATAGAAGGGTTCAGGGGTTTAGATTTCATACTACAGTTAATTACTACAGGTGGCTGATAACAGTACATGAGTCATTTACCCAACAAATACTGAGTGCCTGTTACATGCCAAGCAATGTTCCAGGTGAACAAGAGACAAAGCCTGAAGATTATTTTATCATTTGCATAAAGGGAGAATGTCTGGAATCAAGGGGACCTGCTAAAATGACTGCCTGACTACAGCAACAGAAAGAAATGGATCTGAGAGACTCAGACCTAACGATAGGTTATGTATGATGGAAAACAAAAAGGAAAGAAGAATCACCTAAATCGGAAATGAGAGTGACAGAGAATTTAGGGTTAGAAGCTTTTTGCTTAGTTTTTAACTGCTTTAGGTTCGGTGAGACACTTCAACTGAATTATGGGCAGGTAACTTAAAAAGTATATCGGAAAAGGGTAAAAGCAGCTTGTAGAGTAATAATCTCAAATGTACAAGTCTGAACATAAAAGCAAACATTTAAGATAGCTTACTAGTTCTGGCTCTGAGCACTTGGCATACATTGACATTTAATCCTCACAATAGCCCTCTATGGTCAGTCTATTACACTCATTTTGCAAATGAGAAAACTGAAACAGAGAGAAATAACTTGTCCAGGGGCAGACACAACAAGTGAGAGTGAATTTTAATTGGATTCCTGAAGGAGTAAATGTACAGCATAGGGATAAAACCATAGGTCTTGGTTCCTGGGTTAGTGATATGGTGAATGGGAAAAAGGAAAAATGAACATGGGGGGAAAAAGGGGCAGAGGACAAATATTAGAGGGATGAAAAGCCAAACAAGAATCACAGGGAGCAAGAATCCAACAGTCTAGGGCGCCTGGGTGGCTCAGTAGGTTAAGGGTCTGTCTTCCGCTCAGGTCATGATCCCAGGATCCTGGGATCAAGTCCTGCATCGGGCTCCTGGCTCAGTGGAGAGCCTGCTTCTCCCTCTGCCTGCCGCTCCCCCTGCTTGTGCTTGCTCTGACAAATAAATAAATAAAATCCTAAAAAAGAAAGGAAAAAAAAAACCCAACGGTCTAAATGCAGTCCACCAACACAACTGCCGGTGATATGAACAATATAAGGTCAAGGAAGGAACTAGAAGATGAGGCAAAAGGAAATGGCGACTAAGTTTCACTGCTGTGAGGCCACCAAATGTAGTGACAAAATGGGCATTTACCATCACTGTCTCATCTGCCATATTTGAGAGGAATATGTGAACAACAGGGCATAGTTATAAGATGGGAGAGTTTTTCCGAAAGAAAGCCTGTGTGTTCAAACACAAGAGGGAAAGAATCACTTTAAAAGGTGATAAATATAGGTGCACCAGGGTGGCTCAGTTGGTTAAACCT